GCTGTGCAGGACGTGGCCTAGTGTGTGCACTGGAAATTAAGGTGGCCTTGGTGTGAACTTTAGCTGTAAATCCCTTCACAGAACAAACAGAATCCCATCTGTTCAGGAGGCTGGGGAAGGAGACTCGTAAGTCTGAGGCCAGCCTGGGCAATTTAGCAAGATGTTATCTCAAAAGTAGAAAGGGCTGGAGTGTGGCTGGCGGGAGAGCAGTTTCTAGCATGTTCTTACCCCAGATTCCATGCCCAAACAAAAAGCCACAAACTAAAACTTGAGTGTGTTTGGGTTTAAAAGGAGATCTTAAAGACAAAAATCATCAGGTAGTGAAGTGGGCTGTGATGTTTTCAGTTTGTGGAAATACGGATGAAACCCTTGGGAAGGAATGTTCCACTCGGACGGGACCAGGCGTCTCCCAGTCGTGCGGGTGGGATGTCGCTGGGGCTGCACGTGGACCGGTTCCTCTCCTGTGTTGGTTCTGCGTAGAAGCAGCGGCATCCCCCGGTGGGTGTCCTCCTGCCTGGTCACCTCGCTGAGTCTCGGAAGGGATCCTCTCACCCTGTCCTTTGAGAGGACTGCTGCTGGAATTGTGGCCTGGGGCTCAGCAGATAAGAGAAAACAAACGAGGTTGGCTGTGGCTTCGGGGGTGTCCAGCATAGTCCCCGAATTGGCAGGGTGTCACAGTCCTGAGGAGTCCTCGCTCCCCTTCGAGCTTCTTGTGTTTGCCTGACTTCTGCACCCCTTCACTGTGGTGAGCCCCAGCATGAAATCCAGCAGTCCTCAAGGCCGCGTGGCCCTCACGGTGGCACCGGCCCCTGCGTGGGTCGAGAACGTGACCCCTGTGGCCCGGCCCGGCCTGTGTTTGTGCAGTGTGACTGCCGTGACGTCTCCCCAGGCTTCTCAGCCTTGTGGCCACCCTGACAGTAGACGCGGCCAGGTATTCATGCCGCTTGAATGGGCCGCGCCCCGCTCCCCGCTCCTCAGGTTTTCTGTCTGCTGCCCACACCCCAAGGTTCTTTGTTCTCCCAGTCAGAAGGTGGGGGCTGCATCCCAGCGCTGCCAGACAGGCGCCCCAGAGCCGCCCCGAGCGCAGAGCTCCTGCGTCACTGCTCCCTGGGCGCCAGCCTGGGAGGACATTGTTCCCTGAGCAGCTTCATGTGCGCAGTTCTCTGCCTGTGCCGCTGGCGGAGTTTAGGATAAACAACTGCGTGCCACTGAGAACCCAGCCACACCGGGCCGTGCCCTCCTGAGTGGGAGGAGGGCACGGGCCCTGGCACTGCTTGCCTCCTGCCCTTGTGTACTGCCGCCTCTGCCTGGGATGAGGAACCTGAGCCCCAGCAGCCGGCGACCTTGTCCAAGGTCATGAGCTTGGGGTTGGCTCCATCAGAGAGAGAATCTGAAACCTGCGGGGCAGTCGGGGCCTGGCTTGGGCCCTGGGCCTCTGCGCCCCCATGCTGTGCTCAGGGCCTGGGTGTGGGCTTTGTGTCTTCTGCACGCTGTCATTCATGCTGGTCTCTGTCACGGGTTGTCATGGGTCGTGGCAGGACCCTGACCCACACAGGAGGGGATGGGACAGAGACCTGCAGGCCCGGGAGACGTGAGGGTGTTCATACCTTTCTTTAATCCCTATGTTGGTTCAACTATGGATGTCAGGAGTTGCAGGAGCCCAGACTACTCCTCCCCATGCCTTACCCCCACCCCCGCTTCCCCGAGTGGTGGCATCAGCCATGACTGCCTTGTGGCTCTCCCACCCCCCTCTGCCTGGCTCTGCCTCTCACACGCACACACTGTACACGGGCAGAAACGCAGCCATGCACACATGCACATGTGTACGCATGCACATACGGGAGTCAGAGCTGTTCGAGAACATAGCAGATGACCATGCTGTTTACACAGCATGTTTCATAAAAGCCAGTGCGTTTTTCTTTTAAGTTTTCTCTGAGTACAGTTACTAAACCGGAGCACTAAGATCGACACAGTAAGGACCTCAGTAATCAGGTTTCACCATGAAGCCAAGTAGTGTGGCTAGAAACAAAATTTGGGTTCTGCCCTGTGCAGTGGACAGTGATGTCCGCTGTGCCCCTGAGGACCCAGGGAGCCCTGTCCACCCCCTGTGCCCTGGGCAGCACTGCGTCCCGGAAGTGCTGTGCGCTCAGCATCCCTGGGTGTGCCAGGAGTACTGCCCAGGCTGGTGGGTACGGCTTCCTTTGTCCTCTCGCAGGCTTTGCAGGCCCTGTGCAGCCTGGCGTGTGGATGTGGCCTGGGTGTGATGAAGGGCATGGATGTGGCCAGGGGTACAGGGCAGAGATGCAGTTCTGCTGCTCACTCCTGTGGGGTCCCTGTGTGGCAGAGTGGGCTCAGCCCACCTTGTCCTGCTGTGGCCCTGTGTCTGGCTGCTGGGCTTCACCTGTACCTTTGTGGTCTTTGTCTGCGTGTGGCACCTGGGCTGGGCGGGACAGGGGACCTGCGTGCCCACGACTGTTGCAGCTCGACTTTTGGGTGGAAGGGGCTGGGCAGGTGTGGGTTTCACAAGCAGTGCAGGTGTGCAGGCATGTGCATATGCGTGTGTGTGCGCATGTGTATGGACGTGGATTTCCAGACCCCACTGCCCCCAGCCTCTCAGCCCTCTGTGAAAGACCAGCCACGTTTCAGTTTAGGCTATAGGATGGGGCGCAGGCTGGCCCTGTGTGCTTACCATGGGGCTGCAGGGGGCGAGACCCCACTTGGCTGGGCTAGGAAAAAAGGACGGTGTCACAGGCGCACAGGGGATGTGGGGTTGAGCTCGGGGCAGGATGGTGCCCTCCATGACCCTGGTCCTCAGCCCAGCCTGGTCAGACGGTGCTGTCCTCACTGCCTATCCCGCCTGAGCACCCGCGGCAGAGGACCCCATCCACCGCTGGGCTGTCCACTGCCCTGCAGCTGCAGTGAGAGGACCAGGGGGCCTGGGGTGCCTAGGCCATGTGGTGGGTCATCCAGGGATCCCGTGGAAACTGTGGGGACACTTAGGGTGGGATGTCTGGTGGGCCTGGCCCTGACAGAGAGGTTTTCTCTCTGCGTGTTGTAGGACACGTGATCAGTGCCATGGGTTTGGGTCTTGGGAGTGGCTCGGTGTTAAATTCAGGACTGGGCATTTTGTGTTTTTTCATTACCTGGCCTTCAATGGCCTTGATTCCTGGAGGCTGTGACCAGGGCCCAGGCTCGGGTGTGTCCCCAGCAGAGGGCCCTGAGGGGGCCGGTGCGCGGGATGCACAGGTCCTGAGGTCCCGACACTGCAGCGTAGCTGTGTGAGCTGCACTCTGAACCAGTGGAAGTTACCCGTGATGCCGGCACGGTCCACCAGGGTTTGGGGAATTTGAGACCCAGGGCTGCCGCCAAGGCAGAACCCGCTCTGTGTGTGTGCCGGACTGAGTGCTGAGTCACCCCCGACGGGGCTGTCTGGGTGGAGTTCCTGGGTTTAAGGTCCTTGTGCCTGGAGGTCAGGAAAGCGTGAAGTTTGTGGCCGAAGAGGGAGTGCTGTCCTCTGTGGGGGTAGGGGGCGCCCGGCCTCCTTTCTGCCCTGAGCCCCCAGCCCCAGAGCTCCAAGCCTTGACTTGTAGCAGTGCCACCCCGTGGCTCGTGCACCTGTGTGGCTGGCCAAGTGCTGCTGTCCCTCAGCGCAGGGGCCGCAGCGGCGCCCAGCATGGCGCCCATGGCTTGTGCAGGAGGCAGGGACCCGCAGAGCCGGCCCTGCGGTGCGGCCCTGCCTGCAAGCCCCACACAGGAGTCCCCGAGGGGCCCTCGGGATCCTGCTGTGGGCTTGGGGCCGGGCCTGAGGGTGCTTTGGGCCGGCCCACCTCACTTCCCCCCGGCTCCCTTTCTGTTCCTGGCCCCTTCTGCCCTCTTCCTGTCTTCCCTCTTGCTCTACCACCACCCTGGTAGTGCCTGCCTGCCCTGGCACATGCCCCCCAGAGCTGGGGCAGAGTGCTCGTGCCCCCAGGCCCTGGCTGATGGCCCAAGGTAGACGTGCTAAGGTCCCTCAGTGTGGCCTGGCCAGGACAGGGTTTGAGAAGTGGCCACGTGGGCAACCACGGAGGCCAGCTATATTCTGCACCTAGAGTTCTCAAAGAGGTCACTACATCTGTATGCAAGTCCTGTCTCGTGGGAAACCAAGGCAGGAAAGGCCGGGCCAGGAGGCTGTCCCCTTGTCCTGTGTCCTGGGTTGGGGGACCCCCTGGAGGCCGAGAAAGGCACAGAGACCTGGGTCCCCACCCTCCTGACCAGGCGCGGGTAGGTCCTGGCATGGAGCCTGTGTGATCCAGTGGTTAGGGTGCTGGCATGCTGGGCTGGAGGGTAAGGATGCAGCACAAGTCTCAAGGATCACCTTGCACTGTGCAGCCCTCCGTTGAGGTTGGATGGGATAGGTGACCCGGGCCTGTAAGGTCAGAGGTCAGAAGCACAGGGGATGGCGCTGGTGGCTTTATCCCTCTGCCTGAGGACAACAGAGGCTCATTTCCATGGCCTGGCGTGGTACTCAGGACCTCATAGCCAGAGATGCCAGCCCACTCTGCTAGGCCTGCGCCTGCCCTGCATCTGTGCCTGGGACAGAGGATGTGGGACCAGAGCTGACCCTGCCCCATGTCCGCCTGCTGACAGAGGAAGAGAGGGGACCTAGTGGGACAGGAGCTGGCCTGCCCTGGGGATGCCGGTGATCTGGTATGAAAAGCAGCAAACCTTTCAAACCTCTCAGTTGCCCTAAAGAATTGGGCCAAGCAGGGGCCAGGAAGTTAGCTCTGGCCCTGTAGGTGAGAATTTTACTGAGTTCAGGGCCAGGAGGAATTTTTAAGGCCAAGGGCCCTTACCATCCTGCGATGACACCAGATGTGCCGCCTGAGGCTTGGTGTGTGTGGCGTGTTGGTGAGGAGCTCAGCGCTCCGCCACAGGGACATGGGGCAGGAGAGGGTGCCTTGGGCCCAGCGCCGCCTCTGCTGTGTCCTGCTGTCCTCTGACGCTGCCCGCTCATCCCTCAGGAGATGGGACGCCCCGGGAGAGCAGCCCGTTCATCAGCAATGTTGATGTGGAGCGGGAAAGCTACTACGAAGGGAAGAACATGGCGCTCTTTGAGGTGACGTGGTCTTACTTTGTCTGGAAGGGGCCCAGGCTGTCAGGTGGGAGCAGAGCAGCTGTGCCCTGAGGCCTGGTGTGACCAGGCTGTGGGAGCCGGGCTGTCGTGCACCTCCTCACCGGGGCTGCCTCGGCCTGCCGCGCCTGTCCAGGGCCCCCTCAGGCCGTCCCGTGACAGGCGCCTGTCCCCAACAGGAGGAGATGGACAGCAACCCCATGGTGTCCTCCCTGCTGAACAAGCTGGCCACCTACACCAACCTGAGCCAGGGTGTGGTGGAGCACGAGGAGGACGAGGACAGCAAGCGGCGGGAGGCCAAGGTACTGCCCTGCTTACGCCGTCCCCTCCAGCCACGCGAGGGGGGTGGCCTGCCCCTGGTGCTGAGTGGGATGAGTTCAGTCCTAGAGGGAGGGTGAGGTGGTCCTGGCACTGTGAATGGCCTCAAGGCCCCCTTGCCAGGCCTGGGCCGCCAGTGGGCTGCATGGGGCTCTCCGCCCTCCACAAAGTCGCCAGTGTCCGGATAGGTGCCTGGGCAGTGCCAGTGAGATGAGAAGGAGAGTGCTGCTCCTCACACAGCTCAGCATCACAGGCCCCACTCCTGGCACGGAGTCCCGGTCCCCAGGTCTCCTTCCCGGTGTACCGGCCTTGTCTTCCATAGGTGGCCAAGAGAGGGCACTGCTGCCTGGCTTTTTTGTTTTTTGTTCTTTCTCTCTGGGAGTTAAGCCCAGAGCCTTTGCACTGAGCCACATCCCAGCTCTTTTAGTTTTATCTTGAGGCAGTCTCACTGATTCTCTAAGTTGCCTAGGCAGGGCCTGAGTGCGTGATCCTCCTTTCTCAGCCTCCCAGAGTACTGGGGTTATGGGATTGTGCCCAGTTGCCCTGGTGCTTTTCAGAAACATCGCCAAAGCCCCACTTTCTCTGTGATGAGGGAGAGGCTGGGAGGGCACGAGGGGCTGAGGTGTCACCTTCCCCACACCCCACTCCCTAGTCTCCCTCAGGCCGCTTAGGGTGGGTTACCCCCCTCCTCATGTTGCAGTGGACCGAGCTCTGGGCTCCCAAGATATGCACCCTGTTTGTGCCTGAGGCTGCTGGGGGGGTGGGTCACAGGAGCCCATGCAGGGCACAGATGGAGGGACAGGGTGGGCAGTGAGGGTACCTCGGCCTGGCTCTGGCTGCCTTCCTGGCACTGAGTGACGGGGGCCTCCCGGGATGTCTCGGGAGCTGCAGAAGCTCCCGGCGGCTCCGGTGGACACTGGAGTCGAGGCGATGGGTTTCTCGCTGGAGTGCATTTCTGCAGTTGGGCCTGGCCCACGGCTGCCTTGTGGCCTGGAGGGCCTGTGTCCTACCCTTGGCCACCAGCTGTCCGTCTGTCCCTCCATTCTCTGCTGGCGCTGAAGTTGGGGAGACCCAGCGGGCACTGGGGAACAGACAGTTCCCAGGGCTCCTGATGGGAAAATCGTAGAACCCAGCCCCAGCCTCACCCCAACTGGCTGGGAACCCACATGCACCTGGTCGGAGGATTTGTGTACAGTGCACCCAGGGCAGGCTCCGAAAGCACTCACCCCAGGCCGAGGCCCTGCCCCTGTGCTGCTTGGGGACCTGGTGTCCCAGGCCAGGTTTCAGTCCCCAGCCGGAGCCACCGCAGGACTCAAGGGGCCTTGTGTCATGGGGTGGAACTCAGTGGAGAGGATTGGCCTGTCCCACTTAGGGGTTGGCTATGTCCCAGGGTGGGAAGGTCAGAGGCAGCCCACTGTCCCCTCCTTGGCTGGTGTGCTGCCTCGGGCCAGTGGGGCAGAGGCTGAGCCCTGGTGAGCTGGCAGCCTCATGTGGCTGGAGGCCCCCAGCCTGGGCCTGCCTGTCAGGTGGGCCTGCCTCCCCTTGGGGACCAGTGACATTTTCATTCTCTCCAGTGGAGACTCCGAGGCCTTTGTCCACCCACGGCCTAGGGTGCAGGCCCTGACCTCTGTCCAGAGCGATGTGGGAGGTCGCCACACTGGTCCCCTCTGGACATCCTGCCGCTGGTTGTCCTGGCACAGTGAGTGAGGTGCCCGGGCCTGGTTGCCCTCTCATCCGGCCCTGCGCCTCAGCTGTGCAGCTCTGCACTCTGTCCAGCCAGGATTTAGTGGGGCTGTGTGGTCCCTGGGGAGCTGGGTCCTGGGGTGGTCAGCCTGTCCTCTTGGGGGGTTCTCTCAGCCTGGGCACAGGGTCAGTGGCCACCCCCTAGGCCCTCTTGGCATTGGGTGATGTTCCAGCCTCACTCCACACCCAAGGTGACAGGAAGGTAGGGCAGAAACACAGCTCACATTTAGCAAGGATGGGTCTGGGGAATGGGCTGAAGGCCAGGCCACACTGTGTACACCAAGCTGGCCCCCTGGACACAGCGCTGTCTTGCAGGCCCCGCGCATGGGCACCTTCATCGGTGTCTACCTGCCCTGCCTCCAGAACATCCTGGGTGTGATCCTCTTCCTGCGCCTGACATGGATCGTGGGGGCGGCCGGCGTTCTGGAGTCCTTCCTCATCGTGTCCGTGTGCTGCACCTGTGTGAGTAGCCACGGCCTCCTGCCCCCTGAGGGCCCAGGAGGTGGGGTATCCTCACCCGTGGGGGCCTGGAGTCTACTGCCTGAGCCCTGGGATGACCCTGCAGCCCTGTCCCAAGGTGCTAGTATGCAGTGGGACACAGGCTGCCTGCTGGCCTGCTGAGGCCTGGCCCACTGACCGGCCAGTGCCATCTTTCACACCCCACAGGGCGTGCCAAGCTATCGCCAGGCTCCTCAGTGGGCCCTGTGCTTTGACAGGGCCACCTTCCGGCGTGGTGGGACCTTTCCCGTGGCCCTGTGCCCTCTGCTGGTCTTGGCGACTGGGGATCTCCTCTCCACCTCCATGCCCCAGCCCTATCACCAGCCCAGCTGCCTCTGCCTTTACTCTCATGAGAAGAGCATAATGTAGCCCCTTCATCTCTCACCTGTCACCCGAAGATACCCATTGGGCCCCTTGAGACCGGCTCCAGCCGTGGTGCTGTCCATCCCGTGTCTGGTCACTCGAGTTGACCACTGGCACTTCCTGGTGCCGTGGGCAGGCTTTCCTGAGATGGTGGTAGCTGGAGGTGGGCCCCAGAGCCTCCTGGACACTCTCTGTACCCCTGGGGAGTGGGCGTGAGACAGGCTCCTGTGCCCCTGTGCAGAGCGACATCTCCCTGGGGGTCCTTGGGGAGTGGACAGCTGGGTGGAGTCAGCCTTCCAGGGCCTGAGTCCCGTACTGGGGTGTCCTTTGAGCTGGGGCTTGGGGACACCCCACATGTTGCCTCAGGCTGCCCCTCTGCGTTGGGAGCCCAGGGCGCCTGCCCTCACAGCCACCTGTCTTTGCAGACGTTGCTGACCGCCATCTCCATGAGTGCCATTGCCACCAATGGCGTGGTCCCAGGTGAGGCACCACAGCCCTCGAGTCAGTTTACATGAGTCCTCTCCCTGTGTGGAGCCCAGCCTCATGTCATGGGGATGGCGACCCAGATGCTCTTCCTCATGCAGGGTGGCACTGGGGGCAGACCCACCCTGGCCCACCTGTCCACCGTGTGACCGAGGACAGCTTTGCCCCCAAGCAGGGCCTGGCCCTTTCTCAAGCTTGCATGTAGCCTATCTTTGAGCACTGCTGCTCCGTCCTTGCAAATGGGGACGGGTGGTGCGTGCTCAGGGCTGGGGCCTCTCATGTGAACCGGGCACACTGGGCCTTTGAGAAGCTACGTGGAGGTGCGGTCACCTCCTGTGTCTTACTGCGTGCACCAGCCGCAAGTTCGCTTTGGTGAGACTGGGATTCCTGGTAGCTCGGGGCTCTGTGGTGGCCGTGGGGTGGACTCCTTGTCCATCCCTGCCTTTGTCCTCTGCACCCTGGGTGGTGATCGTCCCGACCAGCAACCACAATGTTTTGATCTGAATTACCCATGATCTGTGGGGTTTTTGGTTAAATCCAGTCTTTCTGAAGGCGGGGCTCAGACACCTGCTCGCTGTATGGATGAATGGGGCGAGCCTTGTGTGGCACCACGTCCCGCCAGCACCAGTGGCGGGTGCCGGGTGGCCGCCCACCTGCGCAGCACGGTGGCCTTCCCTGGCCCCGGTGTGTGAGGCCTTGCTGGCTCCAGGCTCCGCTTCCTGCCCTGGGCTCCGTCTCACGGGATGGAAAGGCACAGTGACAGTCCCCACGCGGTCTGGCTCTGCTCTGCCTCTGAGAATCGTTCCCAGACCAGCACTGGGGCTGCAGGCCTGACTGTACGAGCTGCCCCGTCTTTGCATTTGTGTGTGTGAGGGCTCTTGACTGCCCGCCCTGCCAGACTGCATGCCCCTCCTTGGGAATGGGGCCTGGGGTCAGGGTCACAGGAGCCCCTAGACATCCCCACGTGGTGCTCTGTGGGTTACTGAGCACCCCCAGCTCTGTGGCTGTGTGTATACGCTGTCCCTCCTAACCTGTTTCTCTGCCCATGTCCCTTGCAGCTGGGGGCTCCTACTACATGATATCTCGTTCGCTGGGTCCTGAGTTTGGGGGCGCTGTTGGCCTCTGCTTCTACCTGGGTACAACGTTTGCGGGGGCCATGTACATCCTTGGGACCATCGAGATCTTCCTGGTGAGGAAGCTCCCCTCGCCCAGCGCACGCCCTGCCCACAGGCTGCCCCCAGGTGCCCCACATCCTGACCCTGCCCAGGCTCTGGCTGCATCCTGCTCCTGAAGCCGCAGCTCCCTGTCCTGAGCCCGCGGCACGTACCCCACCAGCCTCCGCCATCTAGGAAGGCCGGAGGCAGGGGGCTGCTGAGAGAGAGAGATGGAGACAGCCCAGCTTTTCTGATGGCCGAAAGGGTCCGTCTGCTCACAAGCTGGACAGAAGCGTGGCAGGTGGGGCTGGACAGGAAGGGAGTCGGGGTCCAGAGCCCTGGGTCTGCACGAAAAGGTCTTCATGCTCCTTATTTCTTGGGTATCAGTGTGTCAGGAGGGCTGGGATGCAGGGTCCCAGAGTCTGGGCGGCCGACCCTCCTGATATGCCATGATTCCGCAGACCTACATCTCCCCAGGAGCAGCCATCTTCCACGGGGAGGCAGCGGGCGGTGAGGCGGCTGCCATGTTGCACAACATGCGGGTGTACGGCACCTGCACTCTGGCCCTCATGGCCGTGGTGGTCTTTGTGGGCGTCAAGTATGTCAACAAGCTGGCCCTGGTCTTCCTGGCCTGTGTGGTGCTGTCCATCCTGGCCATCTACGCTGGTGTCATCAAGACTGCCTTCGACCCACCTGACATCCCGTGAGTCTGCCTGCAGGCCTGGCCCTGCTGTTCCTGGGTGCCCTGGGGTTGCTGTGGGGAACGTGGGTGTGCAGTGGTCATGGTCCTGTGCGGTTAGGTCGTGCTGCTCTCTGTGGACGGGAAGCTGTGTGGACCCCACACTCGACGAGTGGCCAGGCAGCTACAGTGTGGCCACCCGCTTCCGCTGCCCAAGCGCCTGTATCCTCACAAAAGCCCGCGTAGACTCTTTCTCCTCCCCTTCCCAGCAAGGCTGAGAAGGGGGGTGGCTGGGTCACAGCCGGTGGGAAGTGCGTGGTGGAGGGGGGCAAGGGAGCCGGGCCCCTGGCTGGCTGGGAGTGGCATGGTGCTAGGCCTGGGGCTCCTGGGCTCTGGGGAAATAGGTCGAGGGGACCCCTGCGGTGGAGCGGCACCTCCTCCTGGGATACAGAGCCTATGTGAAGACCAGGGCAGCCTGGGAGGATGGGCCACCTCGGCCCCACTCTGGCTCGGGTCGAGTCCATGGTGGCTCTGCCATTGCAGTAGCTTAGCACATCAGACACTGGAGGCCCCGAGGCAGTGGAGAAACAGTCGTGCCTGCCCACTGCAGGGTCTGCCTCCTGGGGAACCGCACGCTGGCGAAGCGCAGCTTTGACACCTGTGCCAAGGTCCACATGGTCAACAACGGCTCAACGATGGTGACCACCGCGCTCTGGGGCCTCTTCTGCAATGGCTCCAGCCCCAGCGCTGCCTGTGACCAGTATTTCATGCAGAACAATGTCACCGAGATCCAGGGCATCCCCGGCGTGGCCAGTGGCGTTTTCCTGGGTGAGCCCTGGGAGCGAGGCCCAGTCCCTGCTGCCCAGCTGTGTCCCTGGCTTCTTCCTGGCCAGACCTTTGGCTGCCACCCTCTGCAGCTGCTCAGCTGTCCCCTGCGCCCGCAGCGGGGCACAGAAGCCTAACGCAGCATATCAGGCCAGCAAGTTGGTCTCAGAGCCAGAGTTCATTTCATAGTGTGTTGATGTTACGCTCGGGACTGTGTCTAGGAAATAACTGGGTGTGGGCCCTGGTTCTAGGAGGGAGACATCCCTCTGCTCCTCAGGATAAAGAGGGGAAACGTCGCTGCCAACCTGCTAGATGTCAGACCGAAGAATGGATTCCAAGGAATAACAGGAGTTAAGAGTAGGAAATTTACTGGGGACAGGAAGTAGCTCCTGAGATAGAAGGGCCCCTGACTGGGTAAAATCTGGAGGTGAGGACAGCGTGGGTCAGAGCTATACGCAACCAGTAAGACTACAGGTGTAGCGGTTTGATGGATTCTGATGCAGCTGTCGCAAGGGCACCTGGTGATGTCGTTAATCTTGGTGGGTCATCTGTAGCCTCCGTCTTGTCTTAGTCTTGGTCTTGGTAGCAGACGATGGCCCACCCCAAGGAGACAATGGTTCATTAATACAGGAAGTCTCAAAAGGGTGGTAACGGTAATCTTGAGCTTCCGTTTATCTCTCAGGGAAGTGTGTAAATCTGGCTGGTGACCTTAATCTTCAGATGCACCTCCGGCCATAGTTGTGCTGTGTTCTCACCCTCTCCACTGACTCCTCCAGGGCTCGTCTTGCCTGACTGCCTGGAATGTTTCTCCCTAAGCTAGTTGTCTGTCGTGCTCTCACCTGGAAGACAGGCCTGGTTCTGGAGAGGAGGTGGCGTTGGGGACGCAAGTAGTGCTGGTCCCGGTTGTCCACATGAAGGTGTCTTGGGGTTAGGCTGGGGTCTGGTGTGCACCCTGTGTGTGACCTTGCTGAGCACCCAGGCGTCCGTCCAGGTTGGGTGGCAGGGAGGGCCCCCACAAAGTCACGTGGTAGTGGGGTCTGGAACAGGGATGCAGGTGGACGCAGGAACCCACCACCACCACCACCTCGTGGTGGCGTGTGAGGGGGCCCAGCTGTCCACAGGCAGCACCCACGGGCTGCGCGTGGGTTGGCAGCTCTGGGCCTGTGCTGAGTGCTGTTGCCTGGGGCTGTTTGCGGACCACGTGGTGCCCGGGGCTCCCCACCAGCACTTTGCACGTAGGTTTGGGTTTGGTGAGGGCGGCTTGTGGGTTAAGGAGGAGGACAGCGAGACTCTGAGTGTCCCCTGAGGCCTTGGGGAGCCCGACAAGGTTCCAGAACCCGCCAATGAGCCTGCCTGTTTCCTCAGAGAACCTGTGGAGCACGTACTCAGACAAGGGCGCCTTTGTGGAGAAGGAGGGCATACCCGCGGTGCCCGTGCCTGACGAGAGCCGTGCCAGTGGGCTGCCCTACGTGCTGACCGACATCATGACCTACTTCACCATGCTGGTCGGCATCTACTTCCCCTCCGTCACCGGTGAGGCTCCCTCCCTGTCCTTGTCTGTGTCTCTGCCGTCTCTGCCTATCCCTGTCTGTCTCCATCTCTGTGTCTGTCCTTCCTTAACTGTCTCTCTGTGTCACCATCTTGTCTGTTTCTGTCGCTGTTCCCACCTTTTGTCTCTCCCTATTATTTCTGTTCCCTGTCTCTGTCTTGTTGATGTCTCTGTCTCCATCTTTGCCTGTGTCTCTCCCCGTGTCTCTTGGAGTGAGTCCCTCTGGGAATTGCCTGGACAGCACTGGGGGTGGAGACCAGAGTGGTCCTGCATGTACCTGAGGCCCTGGTCCCTGGCTGTCCTCAGCCATCCCCAGGTGTCCCCTGCTGTCCTCTGTGCAGGACGGTGACTCAGAAGACTCAGCCACCCCTGGCTTCTCTGTGCCTCTGGCCCAAGTTGCCCTCCACTGTGTGAGCTCTGTGCAGTGGCTCTTTCTGTGGGCCAGAGCAGGAGGGTTTGTGCAGCTCCCTTTTGGCTGGGTTAGGCCCCGAGCCATCAGAGTATGGCTCTGTCCTGGGATTTCTGGCCGCAGCCGTGAGGTTTGCTGAGATCTCAGGGCTCTGACGCGGTGGGAGAGCAGCTTCTGAGGTGGTGCTGCTTCCATGGTGACCGGGAAAGGCAGGGCTAGGTAGGCCTCATCCTTGCAGCCTGGAGAGAGGGTCACTGGGACTCCAGCCTCACTGCGACCTGGGGACACCTGGCTGGGGTCCTTAGCCCGGCCGTGCCCCCTGCTCTGTCCTGTGGCATGGACAGCAGGGCCTGGGCCACGCTCTCTGGAGCTGGCCGTTTGGTGGGGGACAGTGACCTAAAGAAACAGGGTCCCCGGAGACCACTGTCGGGCGCCCGGCGGCAGTCCTGCCCCACCCTTTCTGACACTGTGCTAGGTCTGGGCCAGCTGTGGCCGTGCACCAGCTCTGTCCGCCCATATCGGCCTGTTCGTGTTTCCCACAGGTATCATGGCGGGGTCCAACCGCTCCGGGGACCTCAAGGACGCACAGAAGTCCATCCCCACAGGGACCATCCTGGCCATCGCGACCACGTCTCTCATTTGTATCCTGGACAGACTCACAGGCGGAGGCACTGCTTTCCGGCCTCACCGTGCCCTCCGCTCCCACGCAGAGCTGTCTCGGGGGCCTCAGCCAAGGGGGTCCTGGCCACAGCCTCGTCCCCTGTGGAGCTGGGCTGCCCAGCACATGCCTGCTGGTCACTGTGATGCCTGTACCCCACTTTCCCCGTGCTTGGTCACATGATTTCTCTGCGCCGGCAGAGGATGGGCACACTGTCACGTGGACACTCAGCCGTGAGCACGGGCAGCTGTTGACGGGACGCAGCCACCGTCAGTGTAGGAACCGGAAGTTGGGCTGCAGGTCTCTGACATCCGTGAGCCCTGCCCTTCCGGCTGAGCTGTGTGCCCACCCAGAGCCCTGTGCTGGGCAGCTGGATGGAGCTGTGAGAAGGAGCCGCCAGGACCCAGGGGCTGGGACAGACAGGGTCGGGGGTGGGGGTGTCACACACATGGCCCCGTGTCCCACCGAGGACTCATCACTCCTTGACCTGCGCTGCAGATCTCTCCTGCATCGTGCTCTTCGGGGCCTGCATTGAAGGTGTCGTCTTGCGGGATAAGTACGTCGTCCTTTGCGTCTTCACACAGTGTGGTCAGTTGTCGTGGCAACTTCTGCTTCGAAAGGGAAGTCCTGGCAGGGCTCAGAGCTCCGCCTGCCCTGAGGCGGCTGCCCTCTGTGTCTGCTCAGGCTGCCCTGGAGGCCCCAAACTGCCACCAGGTGGCTGCTTGCTGGGCCTTGGGTGTGAACAGGGAGGGGCCTTGGACCCCAGGGCTGCCACTGTGTAGGGGGTGGAGCCCTCAGGCACAGGTACCCTGCTGGGGGACACCACATGGTTGCCAGGCCACAGCAGGCCAGGACTGCAGGTGATTCCGGGGGAGCTGGGGCTTCCTGCTCTGAGAGCCACCTTGGCGCTGGCCAGGCTGGGCAGACCTGGGGGTCCTGACCCAGTCTCCTCACTGAGGAGCCGACCTCACCCCGGCATCCCCCCAGGGGATGGGTACGTTTTCATCCATCCTCAGCTCATTCCCAGAAGCTGTGCTGACTGCCCCCCCTGCCCACCCACAGGTTTGGGGAGGCCCTGCAGGGAAACCTGGTCATCGGCATGCTGGCCTGGCCTTCCCCCTGGGTCATCGTCATTGGCTCCTTCTTCTCCACCTGTGGTGCCGGTCTGCAGAGCCTGACCGGGGCGCCCCGCCTGCTGCAGGCCATCGCCCGTGACGGCATTGTCCCCTTCCTGCAGGTGAGCCCGAGCCTAGGCTCCGTGGTAGATGCCGCTGCCCTGTGAGGGCCTGGGAAGTTGGGGTCGGGTGGGAAGGGCTGTGAGGGGCCCCTTCCTGGTGTGACTTTTAGAGTGTCACCCCTGGATGCTGTGAGGGCCGTTTCCCCTGGCTGCTTGTCTGGTGCCCCAGGTCAACCCCAAGTGCAAGAGTGCTGCACTCCTCCCACCTCCCTCCTCTACCCTGGGTCTGTCCACATGGCCTGTGGACCCTGTGCCCTAGCCAGTCTCACTGACAGCAGAGACAGTCTGGTGTCCTAGGACAAGGCTCCCTGGGGTGAATTTGGAGGCTGTGGGTATGGGTAAGCATTCTGGGGCCACCGTGATGGCACCCCGGGCCTGGCTAGGGACATCCCATGACATGTTAGGAAGGTCATCTCTGCTCGTCTTCCCCACCCACTCACCTGGCCCCATCCCCACAGGTGTTCGGCCATGGGAAATCCAATGGGGAGCCCACGTGGGCTCTGCTGCTCACGGCCCTCATCTGTGAGACTGGCATCCTCATTGCCTCACTGGACAGCGTGGCCCCCATCCTGTCCATGTGAGTGGCCGTGTGTCCCTATGTGCCCTAGGCACCCTCAGCCTGGGGGACAGCGATGAATGGGTGGGTGCAGCCGGCTGGGTGGGCACATGTGTGGGGACAGGGTGGGCGGGGTTGACACGTGAGGGTGCAGGGCGTGGGGTCAGTGCTGTGGACGGGGCTCACTGTAAGCAGTGTGTGGTGGGGTGGCAGGGTGTGTCCTGGTCCACGTGAACTCGAGATCTCTCGGAGGTGGGAGCGGGTGTGGGCAGAGCAGGGGGCAGGCAGGTGTACCCGGTGTCCGCGACCCTGCGTCCCTGTCCAGGTTCTTCCTCATGTGCTACTTGTTTGTGAACTTGGCCTGCGCCGTGCAGACGCTGCTGCGCACACCCAACTGGCGCCCGCGCTTCAAGTACTACCACTGGTGAGACCATGGGGACGGCGGGCCCAGCCGTGGCCCCAGGAGCGGTCCCTGAGTCTCCCCAGGGCTCCTAGGGCCCGTGCAGTGTTGGGTCCCTACCTGTGGCCAGCCTGGGCCTTCCCCCTGGAGCATGGGCGACAGGGGCGGGCATGGGCTGCCTGAGGCTTTTGTGGGCATCGGGCCCTAGGGGCAGAGGGAGGCCACCACTTGTCCCTTGTGGGGCCTGGGTGCCACAGGAGGGTGTGGGTGATGGTGTCGCCTGGGGTGGGCTGATGGCCGCACGTGGGGACTGTGTTCCCAGTGTTGGGACAGTGGTGTGCAAGGCAGCCAGCCCTGAGCCGCGTGTCCCGCAGGACGCTGTCCTTCCTGGGCATGAGCCTGTGTCTGGCCCTGATGTTCATCTGCTCGTGGTACTACGCTCTCTTTGCCATGCTCATCGCCGGCTGCATCTACAAGTACATTGAGTACCGCGGGTGAGTGGCATCGACGGCGGTGGGGGCTGGGCTCCGTGCTGTCCCTTGGGGCACTCCCTGGCGTGGGCGTGGGGTGGTCTTCACTGGGGGCAGGGACACAGGGGGCCCCAGCTGCGGAGGCCACTTCTGGCCTGGAGCTTGCTGTTGCTGGCGGCCCTGATGGCAGGGCCCCCAGGCTGGTGAGTGTTCGCCGCTCCTGTTCTGGGCCGTGTGTCCTCTGCGTCCTTGCTTGTACTTGTGCCCTGAGTGGCCGGGACCCTGCCCACCCTCCCCTTCCTGTGAGACCCTCCTGTCCACACCGCTGCCGCCTCCCTGCCCAGATGTAGGCCATGCAGCACGGTCCCCCTGCCTGGGCTTCACAGTGTGCTCCGGGGGCGGGGTGTGACAAGCCTCCCACTTCCCTAAACACAGCTGCAAAACGCGACAGCCAGCGACCACGCACCACATGGCCGCGTTTCAGAGCTGTGATCCCAGCAGCTGCCCCGTGGCCTCCCTGCTCCCGAGGCCACCCTGGGACTGGGCTGGCATGGCGTGGGCCCCCCATTCTCTGAAAGAGGTGGCAGAGCAGCTGCTTTGGCCCCATCTTGTCGACCCACTGCAGGCCTGACTGACTCGGGCTGGGGCCCAGCTCCTCCCTGCTGTGGGCTCCTTGCCCTCTGGGCTTTCCCCCAGGACCCAGCCTGCTTGGCTCCCTGCTTGGTGGCTCCAGGGCAGGGGCTGGGGAGGCAGCTGTCCTGGCCGGAGGACCGGATGCCTGGCCTTCTGTGCTGAGGCCTGAGCTCTGTTCCACATGGGGGCCGTGCTGCCTCTGCCTCCCTGTTCCTCCCAGGACCCACCCCGTGTCCCTCCACCTGCTGTAAACTCCTCCACTGGGCGTGCGAATCCAGGGTGCCGCATACGAGGGCCCCCTCTGTCCCCACAGGGCCGAGAAGGAGTGGGGTGACGGCATCAGGGGCCTGTCCCTGAACGCCGCCCGCTACGCCCTGCTGCGTGTGGAGCATGGTCCGCCCCACACCAAGAACTGGAGGTGAGCCATCTCTGCAGCCACTTAGGGACCACGGAGGTCCCCAGGGTCCTACCCAGTAGGTGACAGGCAGAAGTGGGGAACAGCAAGTCCCCCCCTGCTGGGGGACATGAGCGTCCTCAACACGGAGGCCCTGGCCTTTGCCTGCAGGGGACACTTGCCTCAGTCTCCCAGGGAGCCGGGGATGAGGGCTAGGTGCCTATCTTCCTGTCCTCCTGCCCCTGCCTGCCCTTCTGTCCCATCTCCTCCCCTTTCCCCCGTGAGCTGTTCCCATGGTGGCGTCCCTCCTGCCCTGCCCTCCAGGCCCCAGGTGCTGGTGATGCTGAACCTGGACACGGAGCAGGCTGTGAAGCACCCGCGCTTGCTGTCCTTCACCTCGCAGCTGAAGGCTGGCAAGGGCTTGACCATTGTGGGCTCCGTGCTGGAGGGCACCTTCCTGGACAAGCACGCGGAGGCACAGCGGGCTGAAGAGGTGGGTGTGGAGGGGGCTGTGTGGGGCCGTGGAGTTGGCAGGAGGATCCAGCCTGTGGGCTCGGAGCCCAGGCACACATGAGCCGGCTGGAGGGGCCGTGGTCGCCCCTCAGTGGAGGAGCTGGCCCTGTGCCGTGTGCTATTCCTGTGGGATGCTGACACCAGCTGACATCTGCTGGTCACAGCTGGTGGCCCTGTGACCCCAGGATCTCAAATGCGGTCTCTTCGTTTGGGTTGCTTGTGATGGGAGTTTCAAACCTAAGCAGGGTCAGGGCAGGTGGGGCCACACTATCCCTGTGGCCGCCCCAGCCTTTGCTGTCCTTCGTCATGAGGCCGGGTGCCGTCACCTCCGACGTCTCCTTCCATCGGCCGATGATCAGGCCTGCTCACTGTCAGCCTTGCACGGGCTCCGTCAGGCTGAGGCTGGGTCCTGGCCCCCTCCCACCTCCTTCCCAGCGGGTGTCCTTGGTAGCCCGTGTGGCGTCCTTGGGCAGGTCTCTCTGTCACCCCCAGGTCTATAACCCCGGCTGGCCACACAGAAGGAGAGTGGCAGTGATGGCTGTGGCCTCGGTGACCTCAGCCTGCATCATGGTCCTGAGTTGCAGGATGGTGGCATCACCAGTCGGTCGCTTTGGGGCCACCGAGGGCCAGCATGTCAGGTGGTGGTGGGGTTTTTCCCTCCCAGAGAGAAGCAAGTCTCAGCTTGGGCCCAGTAGCTGCGTGCTGTTGTCCTCCTGTGCCCACGATGTCGCACCTGCCCCAGGGAGCCTTTCTGTGGTGGCACCTGGTCGGTCAGGAAGTAGGGGCAAGCGTGGCCTGGCTTCGACCCAGCTGTGCTTGTCTCGAGCATCCAGGTGGCCTCGGTGCCTTTGCCTTGTGAGTGCCCTGTTCTTTGCACATCCTGCCCTGGGGGCGCTCCTGGGGGAGCCCAGACTCCGGCCGGTCCTGTGTGAAGCTCAACTCCTTGGTATCTAGGTGGTGCTGGTACCCCGTTGCCAGTGCTTTGTGAGCAAACTGTACTACAGGGATTGTGTTGGCACCAGACCCCAACCTGCTCCACCGTCTCTGCCAAGGCCCAGGCTCCCTCTGTCACATCAGATCTGCCTCGGCCGTGCGGAGGGTGGCCCTGGAGCCCTGGGCCTGGTGTGTGTGCTGCCGACCTGTGCGTCCTAGAGCGACCTCTGCCCAGATGCTATAGGAGCCAGAGGATGAAAGTGCAGGCCTCCTGGGAGGTCCCTGTTTCTCCTGACCCAGGGCCACTTGTCTGGAGCACATGCTGGGCCCTGTGACTGCAGGGGCCACACCCACTCAGCACCAGGCATGATTGGGTTCTGGCCAGGGGAAGTTAGAAAGCAGATCCTGGAGCAGCTGGGGTGGGGCCCTGCTCCTCCCCAGCGGCCCCATGTGCCCCAGGGCAGCTGTGTCCCGGGGTCCCTCCTGCCAGTGTGGGCCCTCAGTAGCCCGATGTCCCGATGAGACCAGTCCTGAGTAGCGAAATTTTAAGAGCACGACACAGCCTCTGGTCCCTGTACCCCACCTGCTCCTCCCCGTGTGGTTGGCAGCAGCTTCCAGGGTGAGGGCAGGAGCTGAGGCAGCAGGCAGGGGAAAGGCAGGTTGCGCTGGCATGGCCGCTGCAGGCTGGGTGGGGCTGCCCTCGGGGCACCTGCGACTACTGGAGTGACAGGTGTTGCTGAGGTTCTAACATGCAGAAGTTGCGGGGGGCAGGCCACACCCCACGACTGCACCTGCTTCCCCAGCTGAGGGATCGAGATGTCCCTGCCTCAGCCCCCATCTCTGCCTGTGTCCAGCAAGGACACTTGTCCCTGACTTGGTGCCGCCTGGATCGGGATGGCTTCCGAGACCTCATCACGTCTGCAGGACCCTTCTTCCGACAACGCTTCTGTGGCAGGTCGCAGCACACGTGGTCCAGCTTCCCCTTGAAATCGGGCCTCTCGGGGTTGGGGCTGCCCTGGGCCGTGGCGCAGAGACGGGACCGTGTGGCGATGGCCTCGAGTACTGTCTGCCGCTCCGGTGTTTTGTTTTTCTTTTTGTTATTATTAAGTTTGCTGGTGCATTCTAGGTATACGTATCGATCACATTCATCATAAGAAGTTTGTACCTGTGTGTGACGTGTCTTAGTTCCCCTTTTCCCATCCCCTCCCTTCAACCTCTTCCCCTCCTTATTTACAAAACTTTGTTTCCGTTTTTTCCTTTTTTTCTCATTTTCCCCTTGTTTTCCTCCTTTCCTCCTTCCTCCTCCCTCCTCCCCTTTCCTTTTGAACAATTTCTTCCTATTTCATAATATTTGTTGTACATTTTGTTCCTTATTTACGATTTTGTTTCTCACACCAGAGAAACAGTGTGGTATTTACATGTGTGTCTTGATTTATTTCACTGCATCCATTTACCTAGAAAAGTCTCAGCTTATCCTTCTTTATGGCTGAGTAGCACTCCATTGTATAAAAATCTCCATCTTCTTCATCCATTCATTGGTTGATGGGCACTTGGGCTGTTTCCAAGTGTGCTGCTATAAACGTGGGTGTGCATATATCACTGTGGTATGATGCTTTTTTGGAAAGATACCAAGAAGGGGAATAGCTGGGTCAAGTGGGACCTCTAGTCCTAGTTTTCTGAGGAATCTCCACACTGATATCTACCCCCCCCCCCACGGTACCGGAAATCAAACTCAGGACCTTGCATTTGCCGGGCAGGTGCTGTGCCACTGAGCTAATTCCCCAGCCCCATAGGAATCTCCACACTGATTTCCACAGTACTTGCACCAGTCTACACTCCCACCAGCAGTGGAGAAGGTTCCTTTTTCCTCCCAGCCCCTCCAGCATTTGTCATTGGATGGTTTCTTTTCTTTCTTTCTTTGGTTGATTTCTTGATGATAGCCATTCTTTCTGGAGTGAGATGGAATCTCAGTGTTTCAATTTGCATCTCTCGAATGACTGGTGATGTTGAACATTGTTTCATATATTTATTTGCCATTTCTGCTTCATCTGAGAAGTGTCTATTTCAGATGCCTCTTTTGGACTGAGTCTTAAATCTGGGGGGAGGGGTTCCGTTGTCTGTATATTCCAGATGTTAACCCTTCGAGGAACAGCTGGCAAACATTTTTTCCCACACTGTGGGTTGTCTCTTCACTGTGGTGGTGGTTTCTCTTGCTGTGCAAAAGCTTTTTAGTGAAAGGAGAGCCCGTCCTTGGTTTTGATTCTTTATGATGGTTCCTGTGCAGTCTGGTCTTTGTCCTTAAAGTCTTTGCCAATACCAGTGTCAAGAGTTCTGCCTATTGTCTTGTCCAGAAGACTTAGTGTTTCTGTTTTAGTATTTAGGTCTATAGGAGCCAGCGGATGAAAGTGCAGGCCTCCTGGGAGGTCCCTGTTTGATCCATTTTGATTTTTTTTGGGGGGGTTACCGGGAATCGAACTCAGGACCTTGCACTTGCCAGGCAGGCACTTGTGCTGCTGAGCTATGCCCCCAGCCCTCTGTTTCGATTTTAGTTTAGTGCATGGTGATAAGCATGGGCCTAGTTTCTGCTAAAGCATGTGGAAAGCCAGTTTTTCGAGCTCCATCTATTAAAGAGGCTTTTTTTCTTCCAATAAATATGTTTGGCCCCTTTGTCAAAAATAAGGTTGCTGAGTATGTTTGTGGATGTTTGTGCATTTAATCAGTACTCTGAGCCTAAGGTCTGCTTTTTAGTCAGTACCATGCTGTTTTTATCATAGTAGCTCTGTAGTATAATTTCATGTCAGAGACTGTGATGCCCCCGCCTTGCCTTTGTTGCCCAGAATTGCTTTTGCTATTCTAGGTCTCTTCTGGTTTCAAAAGAATTTTAACAATGTCTTCTCTAATCCTGTGAGCTATGCTGCTGAAGCCCTATGACACGTGCTTTCCATAAAAGGGTTGTCAGATTCGGCCTGTTCACGGGACGTTTTCAGCAGCCCAGGTGCAGATCATGTGAATGGATGTCCGAGGGACGTAGCATGGCTTGGTGACAACACAGGTCCTCTAGCACCATGTGCAGACAGCCACCCTGTCCCTTGCATGTCACGAGCACATGGGCTGCTCAGCACAGGAGCCCAGGCCGAGGTGGGGGCTGCCCACCGACCCTCCTGTTCCCAACAGAACATCCGGGCGCTGATGGGTGTGGAGAAAACCAAGGGCTTCTGCCAGTTGGTGGTGTCCTCCAGCCTGCGGGATGGCACGTCCCACCTGATCCAGTCGGCAGGCCTGGGTGGCATGAAGCACAACACCGTGCTCATGGCCTGGCCCCAGGCCTGGAAGCAGACGGACAACCCCTTCTCCTGGAAGAACTTTGTCGGTGCGTGTGGCCCTGGGTCCTCTGTGCATCCCACTCCAGCCGGGTGTGTCACACCTGTCCCCAGCTATCTCCACATCCCTGGCCCTGAGGGCATGGCTTCAGGGACCACTGAAGGCTGGGGCCCTTCCCATCCCTACACACTCCCCACCCCCACCCCAGCTGCACCCCCAGGGCGTCTGTCGCCAGGATGCACTGTGTGAAGGTTGTGCCCTGCGGTCACATGGCCCACCTGCCCTTAGGCGACTCACCCCCACTGCCTGTCTCTGCAGACACTGTCCGCGACACCACCGCCGCACACCAGGCCCTGCTGGTGGCCAAGAACATCGACGCCTTCCCCCAGAACCAGGAGCGCCTGGGCGAGGGCCACATTGACGTGTGGTGGATTGTGCACGATGGCGGTATGCTCATGCTGCTGCCCTTCCTGCTGCGCCAGCACAAGGTGGGCCGGCAGGGGCTGGACGGAGTTTGGGGACACGGGCAGGAGCTCACTGGGCTGGCATGACTGCACTGCATCCCCGGGTGACTGCGCTGCATCCCCAGGTGTGGCGCAAGTGCCGGATGCGCATCTTCACGGTGGCCCAGGAAGACGACAACAGCATCCAGATGAAGAAGGACCTGCAGATGTTCCTGTACCACCTCAGAATCAGCGCCGAGGTTGAGGTGGTGGAGATGGTGCGTGCCGAGGCAGGGACAGTGTGGCAACCCCACACACTCTCTGGCCGACTTCTGTGTGGTGCATACGATGCCACCTCTGAGGAACCTGCAGTGCGGTCTACTCGCGGTCCCCAGCTGCAGCTGGCCAGGTGTCCCTGTTCCCAGAGCTGCTGTCTGGGAGCTGAGGTGCTGCCCTCGCGGTGGCCCATGGCACGGGGGAGGGTGTCCCTACTCCCAGTGGCTCTGTGCTGCGTCACTGTGCAGTCTGGGTGGACGTGGCGTGGGGCGCCTGCTGCCCTCCAGGCAGTGAAGTGGCGGTGCCCTCCATGCCCAGGCTGCAGACACTGCGCTGAGGTGGGCAGGCCTGCCGTCTGTGCGCATCTCTAACCACATGGGGGCCGAGTCACCTGTGTCCTCTCGGGTCTGGAGCTGCTCCTTTCTGCCTATCAAGACCTTCCCTGCCATGCCCGGGCCTGCCGTGGGCACTGTCCCAAGGACCAGTCTCGGCGCTTACAAGCTGGCCTGGCAGCTGCTCTTTGCAGCCCGGCTTGCATCCTGGCCATGGTGACCTAGAGACAGGAGCTGCCTGGGAACAAGCCCTGGAGGTGGGAGGCGGCCAGGGCAGCTGCATGGCGGCAGGGAGACCCGGGTCCGGGTGAGGTCCCTGCAGTCGGTCCCTGTGGGGTGCATGGGCTTGGGCCTGGGGCTGCTGCCCTCCCTGGCCAAGCCCTGCCCTGGCAACACCATCAGAGCTGTGGTGCAGGCGAATGGGCCATCTGCCAGGGCCTCTGTCACTCCAAGGGCAGTGACAGGGGGCTTTCTGTGGCTTTTACCTCTGTGGTTGACGAGCTGTCCTGCATTTGACAAAGGATGTCTTGTTACGTGTGTGTCCCTTGAGGCGCCATCCCGTGGCACGGCCGGAATGCTCTGTCCAGAGCCCAGGTGTGATAGGTGCTCATGGGTGGTGGCAGCGTGGTTGTCACATCACCGGTGTTCATGTCAGAGGGTACAGGCAGGAGGTGAGCGTGTCCAGTTGTAACCACCAGCCTCACACACCCACTCACACTCTGGCGCCAGCCCTGCTGTGGGTGGGGTCCGTACCCCCGAAGGAGGACAACGGGATCAGGACACATGGAGCCCACGCCAGGGGACAGTGGGACGAGGATGGGGTGGGGGTGGTGCAAAGCTTTCCGTGTCATCTCTGCGCAGGTGGAGAACGACATCTCTGCGTTCACCTACGAGAAGACGCTGATGATGGAGCAGAGGTCCCAGATGTTGCGGCAGATGCAGCTGTCGAAGACCGAGCAGGAGAGAGAGGTGTGGGGAGCCCAGAACCCAGGCTCTGCCCAACAGTTCAGTGTCCAGACCCAGTGGGAAAGAGTAGGGCAGGGACCCAAGCTCTGGCTAGATGTCCCCACCGTCACTCTGCTCTGCCGCTCCTGTGCATGACTCTGTCGTCCCCTCGCAGGGCCCCTGTACCTGGGTCCCTTTGTGACAAGGCCTGATTTGGGAGTTGAGGCTCCTTAAGCCATGGGCTCGGGCCCGTGTTTTTTCCATCCCGTCCTCGTCCTGGGTAATGAGCAGTGACTGTAGGCCCATCCTGTGACCGGCCCCCCTCCTCGGAGCCCTGGCACAGCATCTGTCCCTACCCCTGTCACTGCCCACTTACCCAGTGGACAGAGGCCTGGAGATAGGGCCAGTGGGTGGCGCTGTGAGGGGTGGGAAGGCATGATCTCAGGCCACCTGCATGGAGAAGACCCTTGTGGCCTGAGTGTCCCCTCCAGTCATATAGAGTTGTGGGTCCTTTGTCCCTTGGCTCTCAGAGCAGGGGTAGTTGGGCCATGTGGGAGGGATTGAGTAGAGGGATGGGGCAGTCGGGGCAACACTGGGCTCCCTGTGGGGCCAGGTCAGGGCTCCTAGGTCCATGTGACGTTCTCCAGGCTTTGCCGCCAGCTGGACACATGAGTCCCTCTTCCTGAGGATTTTGCAGAGCCCCCAGCTGTGCTGAGTCCACTCTCCCATGTCCCCCAGGCCCAGCTGATCCATGACCGGAACACTGCATCCCACACTGCAGTGGCCACCAGGGCCCAGGCCCCGTCGACGCCAGACAAGGTGCAGATGACCTGGACGAAGGAGAAGCTGACAGCAGAGCGGCACAAAGACAAGGGCACTGGCAGCGCGGCAGGGTTCAGGGACCTCTTCAGCCTGAAGCCGTGAGTGTCTGTGTATGGCCTACGGGTCCAGCAGGCCCAGCAGCCTGGCCGCCCGTGGGTCCTGTAGCCTGGGCCTTCCGTGGGCAGTAGGGTGAGGTTAGTCTTGCACAGCTGTTTTGTGCTGAGGAGCACCAGCTCCCATGGATCATGGCTCCAGCTCCTACCCTGCCGGTGACTCGGCCACCATGTTCCCCCAACCCCTGCCACGGCCCTGTGAGTGCTCAGGACCCCAGGACCGGCTGGGGTCAGTCAGGAGCCAAGGGGAGTGGGTATGGCTCGTCCTGCTCTCTTCTGCAGGCCCCGCCCTGGACCGGGGTCCAAAACTACTTCTCAGTCCAGTCTTGGGGGGTGGGTGCTGGGGGTGCCCGGGTTTCCTGTGTGCCAGGCAAGCGCCCTACCCCTGGCAAGCTGGGTGGGCCTGTCCCAGACTAACCCACTCTCCGTTCCTCGCGCTGCGGAGGGAGTGGGGGACCCTGTAAGTCCAAGCCCCACCTGCTGCCCTGTGCCTGCCTCCCTGCACGTCGGCCTGCACTCAGCCCGCCTGAGCAGAGCATCCGCCTTCCCGCTCCCTACACACAGCCAACCTGGCGGGTGGGCGGCGGGCGGCCGGAGCGGCGTCCCTCAGGCAGTGAGTCTGGCAGCTTGTGCCGTGTTTCTGCATGGGATGCTGTCTCTGTGGTGAAAGCTGTGGCATGAGGGGCTGCATCCAAGCTCCAGGGCAGGGTCCCATGCCAGGCCCAGGGGGAGGACACGGGCACTGCTGCCTGTGAATCGAAAGTTTCTCCAAATACTTCATAAGTTACAACAGCACCCAGGTGACCTGGGAACGCCCCGCTGCTGTGCCTGAGCCCCCGCACCCACACCTCGCCAGCCCCCTAAGGACTGCGGCTCTGGTGTGCAGGTCTCAGCTCCTGAGTCTCAGGTCCAGAGGATGTTCCAAGCGGGCTGGGGTCAGGGTCAGCCTTGGCCGTTTTGGTGAAAGCTCTACTCCGTGTCTAATCCTGGATGGGCACCTTCTTATTGATTCAGGTGGCTGCTGGGGAGCTGAGGAAGCTTCCGGTACCCCAGGGATGCTGCCCCCTACCTGTGGCCCGGGACCCCAATGGGGCCAGGCCTGGGCTGTGGGGTTGGGGTCATGTGTGAGTGCCCGCAACTCCTTGCTGACTTCAGGGTCACATGCAGCTCCAGAGCCACTGCTTGACCAGCCCCTTGGGGGCGGTGGCCTCCCCAGGCAGCAGATTTGGGGTTCTCATAAGGAAGGACCCTCTGGAGGAGTCCTCGTCCTGTGACTTTTCGGGCTTAGTTGGCATGAGGACAGTGGCCCTTTGCCCTGGCTTCCCCCTGGTGCTACAGGGTCCCACCCGGGTCACCCCTGTGGCTTGGGCTGAGTGGCCACAGGCTGTGCCTGGGACATCTCCGGGTCCCCCTGACCCACGCCTCATGGCCCCCACTTGTCTCCCTGCGTGTGGGCACAGGAGCTCCTTCGGAAGGGCTGTGGTGGGAACTGGCGGTGGCAGGCTGGCCGTGACCCTTTCTGTGGCCACAGAGGCCCAGACAAGCAGGTTTTCCCGTGAGATGGATGCTCAGGCAGGCTGAAGGGTAGTGCTCTATGGCAGGGCTGCCTGGCAGCTTCCTGGGATGTCAGCCCCAGTCTGGATTGTGGCTACCTGCCTGGGGACATGGGGCCCATGAGGCAGCCAGGTGTGTCTGCTTGCCCCCATGCCCCAGTGGTGCTAGTCTGGGTGGCGTGACCCTTCCCAGGCTGCACTGGATACAGCTGTAGCAGCCTCGGAGCAGTGTCCCTGGACCCTGTGGACTGCAGACGGGGCCAGGGCTGCAGCAGTTGGGTCAGCACGGTCCACGGCCCAGGGCTGGGAGGCGGTGCAGGGGTTTTCTTTCTGAGGCACCGGCCCCTCCCAGCCTGAAGCCTGTGTCTCAGCTTGCTCTGGGCAGTGAGGGTTGGGGTGTGCTGGGGACTTCATCAGGGCCTGGCCAGGCCACAGCGGCCCCCGTGCTCACCCACCTGGCAGCTGTGCTGGCTTGTGCCCTTGCTTCAGCCTGTGCAGCGGCCGCCTTAAGACTCAGTTTACCCACTGTCCCATCAGGGCCTAGCCCGCTTCTGCAGCTGCTCCGAGCTTACAGCTTTTGAGTCCCAGGCTGAATAAGTCATGAGGCACCAGGGCCAAGTCCACCTAGCCCTGCTCCTGGCACGTGTGGGCCTGTGGCGGTGGGCACAGTACAGGCCACACCACCCAGCACGACCACCCTCCTCCCTTCAGGGACCAGTCCAACGTCAGGAGGATGCACACTGCGGTGAAGCTCAATGGCGTTGTCCTCACCAAGTCCCAGGACGCCCAGCTGGTCCTGCTGAACATGCCGGGGCCTCCCAGAAACCGGCAGGGTGACGAGAACTGTATCCTTGACATGGAGCAGCCACGGGGCGTGTGTGACCACTGTCCAGCGGATCAGTGGGGCGATGAGTGGATGGTGTGACCCCAAACCTGCCTGTAAGAGCAGCCCAGGCCTTGTGGGGATGGTCCCCTCCCTGTTCCCCAGTGGTCGGGTTGATGATGGCCAGGCCTGGCCTGCAGGTCCACCATGAGCACCTGCCCTGCCTCCCCTTCCCCTCCCAGGGTCCCCTTCCTTCCTTCCTCAGACCCATCTGCCTCGAGTGATGTCTCCCCCCGGCAGCCGGGGACCGCCGGCCTTAACTTCACGCCCAGACATGGAGTTCCTGGAGGTCTTGACCGAGGGGCTGAACAGGGTGCTCCTGGTCAGAGGCGGCGGCCGCGAGGTCATCACCATCTACTCCTAAGGCCAGTGCTGCTGGGTGGGCGAGCGCCATGCTGCAAGGTGCCAGCTAGCTGGACCACACATGTGGCCTTCGGGACGCCCAGAGCCGTCCCCTGGACGCCCTCCTTGCAGAGACCCAGGCCGCACTGGGGAGCGAGGTGGCCCCGGTCCGGGATCCCTGCTCCTCCAGGGCTGTCCAGCGTCTGGGCAGTCACTGCCCACCTACCACGCGGGCGCTTGCCAGATGCTGCTGTGCTCTGGGGCCGAGGGCCAGTCCCCACCTCCTCCTGGCTCCCAAGTGGAACAGCACTGAAGACCAGCGCCCTTCCCCCTGCGTCGCTGCCCATTCTGTCCACAGCTCACAGGCAGAACACAGGCCGCCCACCTGGAGGGGAGCTGGCGTGAGGCTGTGGCCTCGGCCCCAGGGGCAGGGGCTCAGCTCCTGGAGCGCTGGGCTCTGCAGCACTGACAGGGTGCCTGAGGGCAGAAATGCCAAGGTTTCTCCATGCTGCCCAAGACAGCGGAGCCCCACCTTCGCTGCTGCGGGGCACCGACCCCTTGCCCTCCAGAAAGGACGCTCAGCTGCGGCCAAGACTGTCTTTGGGCAGAACCTGCCTGGCCGTGTCCCTGTGTCCCTGTCTGGGACAGGTTCTCGGTACCTCTTGAGGGCCGGACACGGTTTGCACTTTACCTTTGAGCTTTCTGCTTTGTAGGTCACAATCATGGGTCAGCAATTTGTGCCTTGCTCTCTGTAGGATGTATTTATTTATTTAAATACTGGGGGGCAGTGTCCTGATAATCACATTCATGTGAGAGGCCCACAGCCGGGCACATGGCCTTTGCTGGCTTCTGGGTTCCCCCACCGAGACTCGGCCCTGGCCACAGAGGCTGGGTTAGGCAGTGGGCCAGCTCTGACCGGAGGTGTTCCTGAGCTGTCAGGTGCCTGGTAGGTCAGCTCATGTGCAGCCAGCACAGTGGGCCCAGGCTTCCATGACCTCTGCCTGCTTTGCTGGGCTGTGAGACTCCTACAGCCCCACCCCAGGGCGGAGTAGGGGAGGGGAGCGGGGAGGCTGCTGTCTGTGAGTGCTCCCTGCAGCCATTCAGACTCCTGTCCGTTTTTCTTTTATAGGCTCCTTGTCTTTGTATGATTTTGTTAGTGGAATAAAGTCCTGTGAAATCTGAGTGGCTGTAGAATCCCATGCACTCTTGCTTCCCCTCTTGGAGATGACCGCAGGCCAGCTGGGCCACACCAAGCTCGGGTGGTGGGACTACCACTTGTGTGTGCCCACGTGGCAACAGCAGCCGGCAGTGCTGAGTGGCACACTCCCTTCTACCAAGCGATACAGTGGCCCAGCCTGCACGTCCTTTTCCTGTGCTGGGGTGGGACCCTTGTGCTGCACGTCCTTTTCCTGTGCTGGGGTGGGACCCAGGGCCTCCCCATGCTTGGCAGCCCCGAGCTGCACCCCAGTGTCAGGGGCAGGAGCACCCAGGACATCACCACGGCAGCTCGCTCCTCGCCGTGCTGAGCCTGTGACTTGAGGCAGGAACAGCGGGTCAAGGGTGTGGAGACCAGGACCCTGGTGCCAGGGCGAGAACAGTGTGGCACTGAGGCTCCCCTAGCTGTTGTCACTGGGAGAAGCTGCATGGGCTCCTGTCCCCACTCTTGCCAGGGCACTTGGCGTGCAGTCCCAGAAGGCAGGATGTCACAGTGCTGTGTCTCGATGTGATAGGCCCAAGGGGTCAGGGCCCAGCAGGGGTGGAGGGCAGAGCAGGAGATGCTGGGATGTCAGGGCACCCCCACCAGCACCACTTGCTGGCTGTGCTGGCCTGGATGGTACAGGCACCTCAGAGCCTCGCTGCCTAGCATTGAGCTGGGCTGTTGGGGGGACTTGCCTCAGAAGCAGGTGGCAGAGGGGGCTGAGGTGACTGGCTCTGGCTGGCAGGAGACTACAGCCGAGGAAAGCCCTCGAGGAAGAGACTGGGGACACCTCATACACCCATGAGCGGTGACTTGGGAACGTACTTCAGGGAGGAGCTTGTCCCACTACGAGGCTATCCAGCAGACATAGCCCACAGGTACACAGCAGACCGTGAGCCTGCACTCCCATCACAAAGGGCCTTTGGCCCGTGTTGTCACCACTGGCTGTCCTGCCTAGGAAGGCCCTTCATAGCCTGGCAGGGCCACCTCCCTAGCCCACGAGGTGAGACTCCCAGGAGGCCAAGCTAGCGCCCTGGAGGCTCACTATCTTGCCCATGTGTGGGGGCACAGCAGATCCACCTCCACACTGGCTCCTTCGTGGTGGTGTCTTCGAGGCCACCCTCCGGGTGAGGCTGTCACAGGCAGGGTCCCGAGACTGGCGGGTGCCCACTGCTGCTTAGGGCGACAGTCCCCACTGCCACTCAGTCTGTCTAACCTGGGTCCGGGCCAGCGGAGGCTGGAGCTCAGCCTTGGTGCTCCACCCCAGCTGGGCCACTGGGCCCTGGCCCCTGGCCGCAGGATGCTGGGCCACTTCCAGCCTGTGACGTCGCTGGAGGAGCAGGCTGGGGGGTTGTGTCAACAGAGCCCCGATGCAGGGGGACTTACTCCGAGGGACACTTGCCAGGTGTGTACCCAGAGCCCACCACATGAAGGGTACGGTCAGGTCCAGCTAGAAGGCCAGCCAGGCACTCCCATGCAGGGCGCAGGTCCTAGGACCCCAGGTCTCCCGAGCAGCGGGGCACAGCTTACAGGAGATGCCAGGTGTGCAGAAGCCAGAGGACACTGAGCAGCAGACACTTGGGCCAGGCTGCATGCGTCTCCTGACAAGACTCCCGCTCGCGGGCTCCCAGCTCCCCTCTCAGCTGCTGCACGGAACCTGGTCCTCACAGCCCAGGATGGTGCCTGGTGGCCTGCAGTCGCAGCTGCATTTGGGTTTCCATGTCAAGTGCTGGGATTTCTTAGAGCAGTGCAGGAGAAGAGCCCCCGCCGTGCAGTGGCATTGCAGGTCTGCGCGCGTGTACAGCAAGGACAGGCATGCTGTTCACAGCCCTCGCCTGCGGCACCATGTGTTGGGGAGCACGCGCTTAGGAAAGCCTGTTGACACAGTGCAGCAGGCTACCAAATGCAGCATCTTTATTATGCCTGCAGAAACACCTCAATGCCCACATGGCCATTGGTTTGCTCATCGGTTTTAAAGGCTGCAAAAGGCAAAGTCGCCAGCCCGTGCTCCACCTCCCGCTTCCCGCCTCTGTAGAACCCCCTGGGCTGTGCACTCCTGGGCCCCTGCACTGCCAGCCCTCATGGAAGGGCACACCTGGGAGGGCCCTGCGGCCACACACGAATGGCCCGAGTCCAGCCCCTTTGCCTAGATGAACCAAGCACAAACATCACCCTCCCAGTGTCTGTTAACTGACCACAACCTGCGTACCATGTCCCTAGCCCGTGCCCCCAGGTGCAGAGGTACTAGGGGCCTGCGGCCTCCCCACCTGCATGCCAGTTCTGCAGCTACCACCCTGATGCTGCATCTGTGCTCGGAGTCGTGCACATGGGGACCTGGGAGATGGGGCACATGGGAAGCCGCCCTGCCCACACCTTCATAAAGCATAAACACGGGAGGCCTCAGCTCTCTACCCACACCCAGTGCCATGGGGAGGCCGCAGCCCTCGAGGGGAAGTGAGAGTGGACTTCCCACCACACCCTGGGCTCTGCGGACCACATGGAGGTACAGAGAGGGTTTCCACATGCGTGAGCTTCCTCCTGGGCACTGTCACTGAGGCGCCGAGTGCTCTGGCTATGCAGCATGGAGGATGTGGAGGATCCTCGCTCATGGGTCCGTCCTGGCGCCGTCCCTGCCCTGACCCCTGGCGCCTGAGCTGGGTGTTGGGTTGGGGCACGCCTCCTACTAGGCAGAGACCCCTGTTCCACGCCCACTGAGGGAGTGTGGCCTGGGTGTGTGGTGCCCCTGCCAGGTGTGGGCGCTAGGACGGGTGGAAGTGGTGGTGGTGGTGGTGGTGGTGGTGTTCGTGGTGGTGGTGATGCTCATGCCGCTGGACCATGGCCATCGCGTAGCCCTCAGTGCCCAGCGCGGGTGGCAGATCCCGCACTGCCTCATGCTCCACCACTGCAGGCTGGCTGTGCATGCCCTTGAGTGGTGAGTGGCCCTCCCTGCCCTTCTGCCGCGGTCGCCTGTGGCTGTGGGCTGGTGGCAGGGGTGGTGCTGGAGGTTGGGCCGGGTGATGGCCCCCATCCAGGGTGGCCTGTGGTGGTGTGGTGGCCGGCAGGTAGTAGCTGGGGGCTCTGCCAGGCTTCCCACTGCCGGGTGCCCCAGGCGGCTTCCCAGGGCCCTTGGGGGACCTGAGGAATGGCTTCTCTGGCCCCTTCAGCCGGGACTGTGCATCCAGGCCTCGGGCAGCAGGCTCGGGGGCCAGCGCGGCGTGGTCAGCCAGCACCTGGGAGCGGCGGTGGTGCACAGCATGGGAGTCGGGCTCCTGGGAGCGGGAACGGCTCTGGGGATGCGCAGCCCTGCTGGGGTGCTCCTGCCGGGCCTGCTCGGGGGGCGACCCTGTAGTGGGGCGGGCGTGAGCCTGGCTGAGGCAGGGGGCAGGGGACCTATGTCCTCCCACAGGAGCTATGTGTGACAGGGCCTGGGGACAGGTCACACCCCTGGCTTCCCTCCAGGGCTGGCCTGCTGGCTGGGTTGTGCCTAGATGGCTGCGTGCCCCAAAGTAAGTAGGACAGGGATGAAGAGCTCAGCCTATACCTGCCTGGCTCTGCCACCCCGGTCTGGGTCTTGTGAGCAGACATCTGTCCTGGCATGGCTGGCCTGTGCAGGACTCTGGGGGACACAGCTGCATCCCCTCAGGAAATGCTCTGGGGGGGTGCCCAGAATCCTCCCCACACCCCAGGTTCTGGAATGGCTCAGTGACAAAGACCCAGCCAGGTTAGCATCAGCCACACGGGCCTGGCTGGGGCTCTGTGAGCGGCCAGGCAGTGTTTACACTGTCACAAGGTCTGGCCTATGGGGACACTGGCAGGTGATAAGCACTCTGACCACAGCCCCAGGGTGTAGCCAACCACCACTCAGGACTCTCCCGAGGGGCAGTGGTTGGCAGGGAACATGGTGGGCAGGCCCGCTGGCAGCCACACTGCTGACATCCAGCCCTCTAGTGACCTTGTCCTCTGTCCTGAAACATCACCCCTTGTAGGAGCTCCCCAGATCCAAGTGCCCCTCACTCACCTCCCTGGACCTGGACACCTCTCACCTACTTGGAGGCGACCTCTGGCTTTCTAGGCACCAGCCATGGTAGGTGGGTGAGACACAGGTGCCCGGGCAGGAGGAAGGCGTGCCTGGGCAGGGGGCACACCAGGCTTTGTACCCTGGGACAGAGCCAGGGTGAAGGTGTCGTCTGGACCTACCAGGACCGAACTTGGAGGTGTAGTTTTCGATTCCGGCGAGGTCCAGGTAGTGGTTCCTGCGCTCAGTGTTCTCATCCACGCAGTAGGGACCCCGTACGGGGCAGAGGCGGGGGTCACCACTGGGCCTCCTGTGCGAGCAGACCAGGAGCTGAGCACCCACCTGGGCCAGAGCCTCACTGATCTGAGGGCACTGCAGAGGACCCCAGGGCGCTCTGTCCAGCACCCACCCCCACCAGCAGGGGGAAGAAAGTTTCTGGACGCTCACTACTGGGCAAGGCCCTCAGCCGGCCATGGAGTACCATCCAGCATCCTGGCGACCAGCTGCAAGTCTCAGAAAACCCTGGGATGCCATCCAGTCCCCTCTGGGACCACAGTGACTGCTGCTCCGTCACATGTGCCAGTGGGTAGAACCCCAGGGATCCAGATCCAGGCCGAGGGCTCTGGGCCCACTGCTGCTGCCTGTCAGAACCTGCCCATCTCTCGGCAGACATGGGTGCTCAGCTGGCTGGGCACCTCTGCCCCACGGCACACAGTGCCCAGTCCCCAGTGTCTATGTCTGTCCCAGTGGGTCAGCCTGAAAGGAGCCAGGTGTGCAGGACATAGCCCACCTGGTACCTGCACGTGGCTCACCTGATGTGGGCAGTCAGCCTCTTGTCAGGCCCCCGGGGATCCTCAGCCAGTTCACTCTCTGTCCTGCTGCGAGTGGGCTCCCGGTCTGCAAGCGGATGCACACAATCATTCATTCACTCAGCCCTTCACTTGTTGCTACCTTCAGAAACTCTGACAGCGCTAAGCTTAGCCACCCATTCCGCATCCAGTGTGCACTCAGCTGTCCATCTCTCATTTACTATGTGTTCCACTATCCAACCATACAAACACCCAGCACCCAGCCAGCCAGCCCTTCATCCATCTAAATATCCATCCTCCCTCCCACCCACCCACCCATCCATCCATCCATCCATCCAAACATCCATCTATCTGAACACAGCACCCAGCCAGCCAGCCCTTCATCTATCTAAATATCCATCCTCCCACCCACCCATCCATCCATCCATTCAAACATCCATCCATCTGAACACCCAGCACCCAGCCAGCCAGCCCTTCATCCATCAAAATATCCACCCACCCATCCACCCACCCATCCATCCAAGAATCCATCCATCTGAACACCTAGCACCCAGCCAGCCAATGCTTCATTCATCTAAATATCCATCCACCCACCCACCC